TGTTAGACCGCATTCGGGCGGGGACAGTCGTCACACTGTGCGGGGAACAGCGGAATGAGCGGCAGAACGGTACGCAGGTTGGCATCGCGTTGAAGCGGGATGTGCTTTGCTGACGGACTGGCAGTCGTCCAATGCTCCTCCTCCGGCGGGGTTTTGACAGCCACGGCAAAGCCCAACCTCTTGTTTCCGTAGTCAAAGATGGTGTAGTACTTGCCAAGGAATATATCACCCAGAATCCAGAGCTCGTGACCCGGGATGTCCAAACCCATGAAGCCGAGGAGGCAGATGTCGTGGCCAAACTGATTTATCTGAAAAAAAGAGACAATCTGCTCTACTTTTCCGAAAAGGAATATGAAGAGGACGCTCGGGGAAAGAGCGAGTGAGCATCAGATGACAAAAACTAGTAAGGATCAGTCCAGGAGCAGCGAAATGACCGCGCCACGAGCTTATATCGTCCATTTTTTCCATCTTTCGGATGGAAACGATTTTTTAGATAACCTTGCAGTATCGGTGGCTATCGACGAGTCGCTTCTGCCGGTGTGGAGATTGTTTATCACTGCTGCTTGAAAACTGGGCCTTAAGGGAATACCTGTGGTCTCAGTATGACAAATCAAACATGTGCATACTGCTGGTTGGCTGTAGTCAGGTTATGAATACTACGTGGTTATCTCGCTGAAGCTGATGGGTTTCGGCTCAAATATTCCTGTTGGCGTGATAAATGTCTGGGCTTCTAGCTAGTACCTGTGCTGACCAGTTCCTTCGTTGTGTCGAGGTGGCCCTTAGACCCCCGTCACTGGATGAATCAAGCTCACCCAGATCCGCTGCAGCCGATTGCCGCGTGCACAGTCCTGCCACACACAAGATGGAATCAGAAAGGCCAGACGCAGCCATCATCTCGTGAACAGACACGAACATAGGCAGGCTATCATTATCAATATGTCCGATCGCAACCGACGTGACAACAGATCTGTTGGACTTCTAACCAACAGGCCGTGAGTTAGAGCCTCGAGGGTTGGGTATGGTCGGCTGATGATGGCTAACGAGCCAGCAGCGATCGCTCGTGTTTCGCTTATCCTTGTCGGTAATGCTATACCACTATTATGCATAATGTACCCTAAACAACGGGACGAGTGAGTTCCGTAATCCGATCGGTGCGCGCTCCTCTACCATTGTTAAGACACGTACATGGTCCATCAACCAAATGAGCTACACCAAACGAGTCCGGCTGGACAGAACTCGCAAGCCGTGTAGCAAGCTTCGTTGACGAAAAACCCCTAAAAAAACAGGTAATTATTTTCCCTCCAGTGTCCAAAGTCCGCAAGGCGATCTGTGTGCGCCTCTCTACCATTGTTAATGGTGTGGTGGAACGCCAAGGTGAGGATCCGTTCGAGCCATCCACCTGCAGCCTCTCTCGTCTCCGGTCTTCTTGACTCTGTCTTGACACCGGGCTCGGGCGAGGGAGGAGGAGAGAGTGTAGGTAGATGCTACGCAAGTCTACCGGCACTATAAACCCCTGCGTAAGTCACCGTCCCTGCTCTTATTGCTGCTGCAACTGTGGGACACACGGTGGACATCATCGAAAACGATGGTCGAACTGTCAACATTGTTAATATACCTGATCACAGCCAACAGGACAACGAGCCCATTGCCCAATGGTTATAACGTTGGATTTCTAACCAAAAGGTCGAGAGTTCGAGTTTCCGAGGTTGCTACCTGGGGGTTGATTACCACTGGCTGATGACGGTTAACAGGTCAGAAATGGCCATTCCAGTCTCCCTTAGACACCCGTCATTGTACGTCAGCAGATGGAAAAGGGATGAATCGAGCTCACCCAGATCCGCTGCAGCCGATTGGCGCGTGAGCAGTCCTACCAGACAAAAGATAGCATCAGAAAGGCAGAAGTCAGACGTAGTCATCACCAGGTAGACAGACAGGTACATAGGCAGAGTACCATTGTTAATATACCCGATCACAACCGACAGGACAACGGACCTGTTGGACGTCTAACCAAAAGGCTGTGAGTTCGAGCCTCGGAGGTTGCAGGCCTCGGAGTTTGGTATGACCGGCTGATGATGGCTAACAAGCCAGCAGTGACCGCTCAAGTTTAGCTTATCTTTGTCGGTAATGCTATACCACTATTAAGTATAATGTACCCTAAACAACGGGACGAGTGAGTTCCGTAACCCGATCGATGCGCGCCCCTCTACCTCAACCGAGTGACCTACAGCAAACGAGTCCGGCTGGACGGAACTCGCAAGTTGAGGAAGAACCCCCAAAACACAGGAAATTGTTTCCTCTCCAGTGACGATCTTGTGTTACGCCCTCAACAGGCCACCGCTTATACCTTAAGGGGTTTTTTGGACGATTTTGTAACGAGAGGTATGAGCAAAAAAAAGGCGACCTAACGACTGAAGCCTCATACCTGTCAGACACAACCTCTCTGAGGACGGTGCACGTTCAAATTACTTTCGGCAAGTTTTGGGGAAAAAAAAGGAACTTTACGAGCCTCAAGGGACTCAGAACAGGCGGTTGCTGCATGGAAGACAGGGGCAAGAAACCCACCTTTATGACATACTCCTCACCCGTCAGGACAAAATCTCTGCTCTCAAAAGTTACTGTCACGTTGGGCAGATTGGGGATGGAATCGCAGGGGACGAGGAATGTGCCGCCCGGCAGAGCCTTGGCATGGGCTGCCATTGCAATCTTTCTTACACCCGCGTAAGGGCCGACAATGAGAGAGGTGCCGGTGTCAGCAATGGCGTTGCAGCTGCCATTACAAAGGTCCGCTTCCGTCACAGTGATCCTACAGACAGGGACAAGACAGGTGGCTAGAGTGTGTGTTTGTATCAAATTTATTATGTCTTTCAGCAAGTTCTTCAGCCAACAATGGATTTTCTGCGATGATGACGAGTGGGCGTGGCTATGCATAAACAGTAAGAATGATCGCGAGGGAGACACGATCGCTGGAACAAGGGCTTTATTAGTCTGGCGTCTTGGATTCTCACTCGAAACCATCCTCAGACGCAGAGCCAGATAAGGGTGGTAAATTGCCCAAGTGTTGCAGTAGCAGCCTGGCAACTACATCCTGCAAATACTGCAATAGCTGGGCAATTTACCACCCTTATCTGAATCTGTCTCTGGTGATGGATTCGAGTGAGAATCCGAAACGTCAGACTAATAAGGCTCTTGTTCCAACGACCGTGTCTCCTCCTTCGCGACTACTTCCTGGAACTCGCCTCTTCGCTTCTATTAGCAGGAGAAATTTCAAAATCCCATGAAGACAATTCATGCCCTAATTGGCTGACACCGTTTGCTAGATATGCGTAATCAAAAATAGTCAAGGGTAGAATCATAAGTCCCGTGAAGCGATCGGTGAGCGCCCCTCTACTGTTGTATGTTCCCGATCGCAACCGACAGGACAACGGGCCCGTGGCTCCAGGTGTTGCACACCTCGGGGTTGGGTTTGGTTGGCTGATGACGGCTAATCAGCCAGAAGTGGCCATTTCAGCCTCCCTTGTCTTTTTCGGCAGTGCTCTTCTTCCTGTGTTACACGTCGATGAGCGGCTGCTGGCGGGGCTCAAGGGAGTCCCAAGGCAAAACGGGAGGAGTGAGTTCCGTAGCGAGGTCTATAAGCGTCCCTCTACCATAGTAAAATCTATGAAAACTGTCTGCTAAAGAGAGGCGCATAGGTTCTTCTAGTTTATTATGTCTTGATTGCTGCCATAAACAAGGATATGATGCAAACGGAGATGGGACGGTCTGCATTATAGTCCAGATTAACTGTCCCGGATTCATGTTTCCCTTAATTACTTCCTGCAGGGGACATCATCGTATTCTATTCTCTTAAAAAAACTCCGAACTTCAAATTAGCAGCACAGGGTTTACAGTCAAAAGCAAGGATGACAGGCATGACCGTTTCAGGCTTATCTGTCATCGTTAGTCAACGGGACACCTGTTGTTGGCTGTCAGGACAAGCATGACGCGCCGAGGCAGGACGGGAAGGCAAACGGAGAGTAACTAACAAGACGCCCTGTGTAAAAAACCACAAGGTCTTATTCCTTGTGAGCAGAGGTCTCTCCTTTAAGCAAACAGCGGAAACTGAAAGTGAAGGGGTATAAATAATTGCTGTTGGTTGGGCGTTCAAAAATCCCACTTCTGTCAGCTTGACCGTTGCAAACGACGCCAATCGTGTGCCTCACAGCAGGGCGGGCGCAGGCACGGTGACTTGCACGTTAATTAGTTTATGGTGATAGTAGACTTGGGAGGCATCTGCCGCACTCTTTTCTGCCTCACTCATCTGGGTCTGGCGTCAAGAACGAGGCAAGGGGACCAGAGGTGGGATCGGGCGCAGTGGCTGACGAAGCCAAGCAGCCCGTCTACGCGCGCCACACACGACCTGGATCGCGCGCGGTGGGTCGGGTTCCCACACAAACAAGAAGGGAGCGGCTCGGATCCCATCGTAGTGGGGATGCCATAGGGGCCACACTAAGAAGAAGCCATTGTGGCCTGATCCTCAGTCCTGAGAAGACCGAGGCATCCTATCTGTTGGTAACCTTCTAAGCCACATTACTTGCCGCGTCGTGATAGTTGCAGAGCGCGTCTGATTGTTTATAGTCATAAATGTACTGATATACCGTGTGGACGGAGTCCCAAGAGTCAACCTCATCCTCTGTTCCTTTTTCCATGCACCAGTCCACCGGCAGAGCCGATGCGGGCACTGGGTGAAAGTGGATGGCGTGGCGCCCAGTTATGCCACCACATCCTTCATGTGTGATATTTTTATGGAATATGCCGCCGGGATAACGCATGCTGTGCTCCAATCTGGCCCACCTGTTGGTGCAGCGTATCTTCCGCATGGCCCATCGTAGGCTCCACCTGGAACTTATGCCTGCAAAAACGCACCCAATGGGGCCCAACCAGCTCCCTTATCCAGCAAATAAACCTGGAATGACCGCCTTTGTACTCACTTGTATTGGTGCGCGTCCGTATTCATGCCCACATTAAGTCGTTAACGGCACCTTTACATCCATGACTGAGGTAGAGGGCCTAGAGCTTCGATCAATTCTCTCCATATCTTGACGAACTGTTTAAAGTCAGATCTTAAGTCGACTTCCTGCACGATATCTTCAAGCTGGCACCCTTCGTTTTTGATCATCCTCACGCACACCATTCAGCCTCCACAACTGGACGAGGTACTGGCACACGCGGGTCTTTTCGGTAATGGAGATATCGCGGGGAGAACATACACATCTCCCAAGGATTGCGATAACCCTGCAAACAGTGCTGACTCAGAAGTCAATTTTGCCCCTACTCTGTTTACTTAACACCAGCCCGGGCAAGAAGTATTTGAAACTGCCACTTCTTTAGGACGACAATCACAAGTACCAAGGAGTGCCTTCTCCTGGTCAGGGGTACAGTCTGAAAACACATCGTTCTCTCCAGCTTTTATGTATAAACCGACGAATTGAGTGACCTCATTCACCCTTCCGACAATCCGGTCAACAACGTGGTTAAAATGGGTGCGGACGGAATGAAACTCTGTTGAACATTAAACCGAACATCGAACGGCTGGGAAAGATTGTCATGGACCAGGACTCGCACTGTGGTGGAACGAAAGTAGACTCCGATTGTGATGATGATATTTGCTCGGAATCCGGCCTGACTGCGTTTCGCTCTCGAGGCATACACATTCCGAAATCGCCTGAGAGTGACAACGACAAGGGTTTTTGATGCAACGTTAATTAAACTTGTGCTACAGCAGTTCCAGAATGTTGTCTTGAATACAGGCACAAGGATGTCCGAATCCTCTCCGTCAGGAATGTGCCCATCTGACGCCTACCCATTTACCTCACGCGGCCAGGGCATGAGAGTGCCGGCTTCATACTTGCAAAATTCGACGGAGATATCGACCTCTATAGACGCCTTTATGTTGAGTAGCCGCAGGATTGCAGGAGAAACGCGCGACACTGCGTTGACGGAAGGATAAGGGCAATTGGATCTGTCATCGAAGCCCGAAAGATGGCGAGGTGCTCGTGCCAACGCTTTGTCGGCAATAGAGACGTCATTCGCCACGAAAATAGTCATTGCATGCAGAGGTATACCACAAACTTGGTTGCTAATTTGATGAGGTTTTCGATCGTCGCCAACCTTTGAGCGGTGGTCCTTTATCAAATGTGTCGAGAAGGGCGGTCATACTAAATAGCGCAGATTTAGGAGAGATTTGAGACTGCTGAACAGGGGAACGAAGGAGGCGATGGGTTAGTTATTGAAGTTGAGGTGCTTGCAGTTCCCACGCCAGCGTTAGGCCTTAGTCAGGCTGTCAGAAATAAAGCCGTCACTTGCATGGAGAACAGGCTCACTCAGCGCGCGCACTCACTCACTAACTTGTCAAATATTTTGGTACAGTTTTCGAGTGTTACTGACGTTTGATGTCTGCTTTAAAAAGGTCGTCACTTCGGCCCAACAATCTTTTGGCCATCCTTTGTTCACATAACCGTCGCTTTCCAGAGTCAACGGATAGAATCCTCCCTGCGGGACTAAGTTGGGACTGTCTGAGAAACAGCTTTAAGGTCCTTCAGTCGATCTAGTCAGTTTGCACACTGCCTTACAAACCGAAGATAGAGTCAGCAATCCACTCAAAGGGAGCTCTTGTTAAGTCTATCTGCGCCTTCAATTGATCACCTGGACATCGTTGCCATCCAGATCCGGATTCGAATGAACGAACTGCCTGGACGACCTCACAGTCCAGTCACCACAGACTATAATCGAATAGTTTTAGTCAGCGAGCAAGGGGGGCGCAGTTAGTAGTTCTGATAGTCAGCGATCGTACTGTCACTTGTGGAAAATGCGACTGAGAGGACGAACTTGGGGGACGGGAGCAAATCCAACCCCCCTAGTAATTACCTTGTTCTTTAGATGGAGGCCCAATCCGGAAGACACCGGAAGCAGGAAGAATCTATTTAATGATTTAATGACTGGTTTAATTTATACTCGTCATGTCAAAGTGCCTCCCACGGACTCCATGGCAATGGCAATGGCAAAACTAGTCCATCCGGGTCTTGTTAGCACTACACCAGGTAATTCGCAACCGATTAGTCGTCAGAGCCGACAGCCTGTTTATTTTGCAGCTAAACTGAAGGCCCTTCCAAAATCCAAGCAGACCAATTAACGAGCTAATGAAAAAGACTAACTGATTTCAATATTTTCGGAGAAAAGTAAGGCATGGAAAGGGAAAATTTAGACTAACTTGTCAACGCGGAATTCCCAGTAGCCTTCGCGAGTCACAGGGGTGTAGGTTATCGGTCCAGTGAAATAGCGCTCATCGATGGCACCCAGAAACAAGTCACCACCGGATTTGTCGGAAATGTTCCTGTATTTGTGGAAAATTTGAAAATTCGAATTTATATGAGAGAAAACGCAACACTTGGGAGAGAGAAGGACTCGGATAGGAATGACCTTTCGATAATATACTGGCGGAATCGGCTTGAAGACAGAATCTCATACCTGTTAAAATAAAATGCGAAGACTGGATCCTCCAGCAGGCCTTGTCGGACCATGTTGTCGAAAACAGGCTCGACATTACCGACAGAAATGTTTCGGAATCCCATGCCCAAAATGCCATCAAATTTGGCCATAACAAAGACCAAACCGGGCTGAGAAGTGGCCTCTCCAAAGGTCTGCTTGGTCACTTTGACATCTGCTAACTTACATAAAATGAGGTAAAGATTTGATTAAAATGTTTACATTTAGGGTGTCTGTACTCAGGAATCCCTCCAAACTTCCGGTCCCGTAGCGAATTGCGAACTTTGTGCCGTTAGCTTCGTATGTGATCGACTTTTCGCTGTCATACTTGTTGTGCACCAGACATGCAATGTCAAACCAGCCACATTTCCGCGACGGGACCCAGAGATTTGCCGAGCCAGTGTCGAAGACCACCTTGAAAGGTTGACCAGGCGTGCCGAGCTCGATGGGTCCATAGTATTGTGCCTGTAGAAATGCATAGTGATAAAGTTTATAAACGAGTAGAAAGCGCATAGGGTAAACTATTAATAGTCAGCAAACGCCAGTTCACACGACAGACGCGCCAGCCAACCCAGTGATCCTTCTGAAGATGGGGAATGACCAACAGACCAATCACGAGAGTCACCAACAATACCATCACGAAATGTCACCCCAAACTAAGGAAATAGACTGAGTATCTGCTTGACTCCGTAAACCATAAGAATCAGTGGGCACAAGACATAGGTCCCAAGGGAGCTCTGTAGAAGGTACTACAAGTAAGCGACTGTCGGCTGAGGATGTACCATCGACGAATAGATCAATGGACTTTCATAAGAATTAACTTCTGGCTGACATTTTCAAGACCTTGGAGTTGTTTGATGTTTTATGACTCGCGAAATTATCCATTATGGCTGCGAGGATTAGAAAAACTTTCCTTAGTCATAATGGAACTTCGTCGAAGTTCTGTAGCAAAGGAGGCGGAATTCTAGTGAAATAAATCATAATGCATGCTCTACTGGTAAATTAGCAATGATCGCGACCGACAATACAAGATACTTGGCATGATTCGCAGCTTTCCAAGTTAGAACACCTAGCGTGGTTGTGATAGTTCCGAAGTAAGACAACCGGCGGAAATTTAGGGATCAGCTTTCGAATCTGCCTCTCAGTAAACACTGTGATTTTGAAAAAGATAAGCAGCTGGGTTTTGGCGGGCGTACTTCTCTTATCATGTTACATCAACTAAGCCACTGATCCTAACAAATATTTACGGCATGAGGATCGTGGTTCTTCTGACACCATGAGTCGTAGTTGCGGGCAAAGCAGAAGGGTACAGTGGCCAAACGACCGAGAAAATTGGGAATGAGCTTAAATGAGAGAGGACTGGGTTTGCTGCAGACGTTATCAGGATAAATCACTCATCTAGGCCGATCTTAAAAGTAGGCTGCAAGCAGAAATAAAAGGACTGTCATGGTGAAATGCCAGTGCGGGCAAAAGCGAGGTTCTAGTCTGAGTAGATGTTAATAGTAGTTAATACTAGCAACCAACGCGCCATAAAGTAAGGTGGTTTAAGGTAAACGTGCCGAAAGAACGCCAAAACCGCCACTTGTCCCGCTTTCCAGTCGGGGAAAAGTGTCTTAGCGGCACAGACGGGCTATTTATCTGTCTAAATCAAGTCAACCCTTATAAATGTCAGTGGTCGAATCGCCCTGCATTGGAAGTAGACTTCACAGACCTGCAGCAGAAACACTCGTCTGTTTTACGGAGTTCTATTCAGATCACCGACAGGCTGGAGTGAATTTTCGTTTACAGTCAAGTGGGCGTACTTGACTGTGATACCTACTTTAGCCCATCAGTGAGCAATTGTCGCTGGCACAGACCTAACAACCTAGAAATGCCTGTGACTTATCTAAACATACAAGCAACGGACATAAATATGCTGCACAGGAGGACTCCTACACAAAATACTTTACCTGACGACTGCGAAACATGAGTTTCAAATGCGGTTGATCTGCGAGAAGGTGGGAGTTCGACAAATGGCGCCCGAGGACAGGACTATAGTTTTTACTGACTGACCGTGCACCGAATGTGTAACTTCCACAATCGTCGTTTGCGTCCATTGGCGATGACAACAATAACCGTCACGTAGTGCCGACAAGAGGCTAACCTTTGACACCCAAACACGAAACAGCGCTGCCGTTGGGGATCACCGGTTACAGACTTTGCGACCGTCAAAACGCTGTGACAAGAGGGCATGGACGTACTGGGCAGCTTTGATTCCCAAAAATTAAAGTCTGGTTGAAAAATGATTTCGGAGGATTTGGTCATCTATCTCAGAACATAGGACAAAGCAGCTCGAGAGGCTGTGAACTAAAATATTACGGGCGATAGCTAATCAGCGTATAACCTGAAAACTCATGCTTGCGGGTCATTGAAAGTGGTCTATGTCTGTTCATAAAATGAGCGTCGACGAGTTTCAGGACAGCCAACAAGGCTAAATAGGCGCACATAGTGTTTTCATTAAAAACACACTATTTGCGGCCAAGTGGCACATTTTCAAAGTGTGTACAAGTCGCATCACAAGCTATCCTTACGGTGATAGGTAAGGGTGCACGCTGTATGTGTCGGCCGCGGCCCTGAGAAATCTGCAGAAGGTATGTTGTCAGTATAAACGAACCCCGGATCTCACTGTCACCTATGATAGCGAGGACATCAGGTACCAAGTAACCTGTTCAGAAAATTCTCAGGGAATTAAACAAAGCGTGTCGGTTGAAACTACCGATAGAAAAGTTTCGTACATCCCCATCTAACAAAATACTTGCCTGGGGGACGGACGGCCTAGTTGTCTTTAGATTATTTTTTAAACGCAAACAAATGCTTTCGGTGAAATAGTAGGAGGATTCCAAGTTGGTCACGACGTTCTAATCTCCGTCTCTAGTATATATATCAGAGTTGAATTATATAGCTCATTTATGCCTGGCATTTTCGACAGCACATGAAACGCCAGACGTAAACAGGGATACATTCTCCAAAAATCGAAATTAAAATTAAAATACCAGAACTCTGTAGCTCATGCGCTCATGTGTGACACAATGTAAATAACATTTGAACGAAAACAGTCAAACCCCATGTGCACAAAGTATTATCAAATAAAAGGTCCATAGGACTGAGTTCAACAAGTTTAAGAGGGATTGCAAAAACTTACATCTAAATAATTCTCCAGGGGCTCTGGGTGAATTTGCGGTTGGTTGAAAACGCCGAGCCATCTTTGGCTTACCACTTTCACGGATGTCTGGACATCACGAAGTGTTCGTTCGCCGTGATGGACATGGTAAAGCGGAATCCTAAAGATGAGGCTGTTAAGGGAGGATACCTTGTCTTCTTATCTGCACTACAGGTAGTGACGAAGGCCAACAGTAAACAGCACAAAGCAAAGCGCATCATGCCCGAGCACAGTCCAGGCAATTTTTGTCCTGTCGGCAAAGTAGGCAACGAGGATAAACAAATGGTTTTGTGAAGTTCATATTTCAATAACCCAAACCTGGGTCTGAGGACACTACTGAATAGTATGTTACTATTTTAAAGATAATTAGCGGAATTTTGAGTCCAAAATAAATATTTAATCTCCTAAAATGTCTATAAAATGCAGTCTTGGGGGGGAGGCAGCTAGTAGGACAAAGCTCGAGGCCTGAGATAGGGAAGGGCTCGGAAGACGAACAAAGGGGGTAGACGGGAGTTATAATGGTGGCGGTCGGTCAGCACATCAGCCTTCCGTTCCACTCACCACCATCCTACTCTCATGACTTCGCCCACCCCTCAACCAGTCCAAACCTATTCAGTCCCCAGCGTCGACTCGCCACCGAGGTGTACAAATTTGAGTAGAGCATCCGTGAGTGACAGAGAGACCTCTCTATCTTACTCGTAGGCCTATTTTCTCTTCATGAACATGTCGCTATCTTTTATGTTTTCAATTTCCTCCAACATGTCGACGTGCTTCTGATGCAGGAATTGCATATGCCTCGGACGTCGGACGCGCTAACAAAACTCTAATACAACCATTTGACAACCCTGACATCGCGATGGTCGCTAGCTTATGTTTTCCTGCCCGACGACAACGTCTCCATTCAATTCGCAGACGATTTTGCGGGTGACTTGGTGCGCATGTTTTCCCTAGCCTACACCAACCTTCCAGAGACGGAGTACGACGGTTTAATGCTCATCACAGGTTCCCAAGACCGCACGGCTACCAAAATTCTCCTCTGACTCCTACCATATTAGTTGCGGCCATTCAGTAATGCCGGTTACAGGGATTATATCATTCTAGAACTTATTCTACGCCGTCTTACGATTACAAAGTCCTGTCGAGCTCCACCTCCCCACCCATTCCTCCAGCAAACCCTCCTAACCCGCTTTTCCAACCAAAACCCGGCTGTTCATTTTGCGCTGCCTTCGATATGCAGCTCAGGTGGTGCAGGCACAATCAACAAGCTGAGCCTCTATTTCCTGAATCTGCATACCTAGTCACTACCTCCCATTCACCTGACTTTAGGACACCCGTCCAATTTGGGAGACAATCTGTACCAATTCTGGTGGATACAGTAGCCAATGTATCTCTTGTGAGTACCTCTAGTTTAACCCGTGTGCTGTATGAGCAAGAAAAACGCATAAACGCTTCCGGTAGTTTATGAGCGGTGGATGGCACCTCAGTACCTATTCTAAGCCGAATAGCCCTGCAGCTCACGCAAGTTAATTCAGCCATTACTTAACCATTTCTCGTGGTAGCATACTGCTCTTGGACATTCATCACAATGTAAGAATGCTTAACGGATCATGACTGCATCATCCACGCCGAGATACGATTTTTGCGCTAAATTCTTGTCTAACTATGTGTTAGACCTACAGGACCGACCACCAATGAGATCCAGCCACCACATTACGCTGTACTTCGAGTACCCACTGTTTTCAAAATCCATCCTGCCTGATAGGTGGGAAAGAAACATTTGGGGTGGGGACTATTCTTTCATGAGGAAAGAATTGTCGGCAGTATCATGGGGAACAGAAATTCATGGTGCGACAAACGGCGATTGGAATTCTTTCAGTCACTTACTGAACAAGCTTGTTTATTCCAACTGTCCCCTCAGAAGAAAAACAACTGTAAAACACCCAAAGTGTATAAACTCGAACTTGCAGGCCTCCTTCAAAAAAGAACTCGCCTTTGGCGGCGTTACAGACTTGTCAGCCCCACAGAGCACTTACGGAAATATATGCAGCAAGGCAACATTTGTAGAAGCCAGACTTTCAGGCTGCGATGGGAATTCGAATTGAACATACTGCAAAATTCGTTAGTAGTGAAAGGAGTCGTTGTTGGTAACCCTGTCTCGAGATGGGCAAAGGTGGAAAGTGGTGTCCCACAAGGTTCCGTTTTAGGCCTACTACTCTTCTAATTTATGTAAATGATTGCATCAGTGAGATAGATTGTGAAGATCTCATGTATGACACAAAATATGGAGTGAAGTCAAGTGCGATAATAACGGAAAGAAGTTTCAGTCAATTATGGACAAACATCGACATCATCGTCAAACAGTTGGCTTTTGAAGTTTAACGTATCCAAATGCGTGGTCCTACACCTAGACACCGGCCTAAATGCCTCTTCCAAACACCAGTGCTCTATTAACGGGACGGCACTGCAAACTGTAGAAAGACAGAGAGATCTGGGTGTATGGACGACAACAAATCTAATACCATCAGAACACCGTATGAAGATGGTCCGGAAAGCAATTAGTACTCCACACTGGATCAGACGTTCATTTAAAATATATCCTCGCGAACTCTTTGGAAGACTTTTCGACGTCTTTGTAAGAGCCCATCCAGAATGTGTAACGTCAACAGCTTCACCATGTATGAAGGAAGATATTGACTTACTCGACTGGGTGCAACGCAGGGCACCGAAGATAATCGATGGCCGTAAGCATTTTTCGTACCAGGAAAGGATGTATGTGCTTGGCTTATTCCCTCTATCCTATAGACAATGTCCTTTGGTTGTTCTGGATGCCTTTTCCTCTACGAACCTCATCCTTATTAACTTCTACTTACCTCATTCTCCCACATTTACGGCAAATACCAATATGCCTAAACCGAGCGCGGTCGAATATGGCTGTGTATACACAAATTCCTACCTATCCATCCAAACGTCCTCGGTTGCACTGGAAGTCACTTTACCCTCCCCAATGGCAATAATAGCGCTGATGACATTGCTGCAGCTTAATATGGGGCTGTGTAACGGCTAACAGTTTTTCCATGTCTAACCGTTTAACCGACAGTCTGCAAATATGTTTTACATGTTTTCCACTTGCCGTCAGATACCTTAGAGTAAACGTAGTTTCACCAGTCCGATAAAGCTCCACGTACTTTCTCCAGACACGACAGCTCAACCGTCGTGACTGACAATATTCGTCGTGTGCTCCCAATGAACCCTCATCAGCAGCAACCGTGTATTATTTCATGCAGTACTTCATCAACTGAGCGCATTGTAAGGTTGTGTGTTGAGTTATGGATTTCTAGGGAATTAAAGCTTAATCCATATCTCAGACCGTGAGGAGGAGGACACTGTCTCATAACAATGGTGATGACGCAAGTCCACTATTACCACGTCTGACGGACATTGCAATGAAAGATTAAAATATTAATAGAATGAAACTTTGATGGCGAGGCATTAAGTAAGACAAAGCTCGAAGACTGGGTCAGGGAAACTGATGAAGGCGAATAGCGGGGTAGAATGAGGACTCATTACCAAATTATTGGGCTAGTGAATATTACCGACAATTAAGTTTCAGTCTTGATGCGCCATTTGACAGTACAGCGCATTATCCTCATGTTCTCCTCAAGTATGACTCGATTAAGTCATTCAGATGAAAAACAAGATATGCGTTTATAAAAACTTTGGTTACACTACTATCTGACCATCTTTTTCTGGATTTAACACCTTACACCTAATGGGTTCTCTCTGTTATCATTTTTTACACGAAAAATTATCGCATTTTGGGCACACAGACTTATCATCTGGTTTTCTCCTACCTGACGGATGTCTTCCCACAAATACTTAACAGATGTGCCTTTAATCACCTCTGGCTCAACATTTGTTGAATACTAGTTTATCCTGGTTATTACCACGGGGAGTCATTAGATTGCTTGGAATTCTAGGTATTGTAGGGTTAATCAATTTTACTCGAGAATCTAAAGGTTCATCGGGCACCTGTTAGAGAAAAAACATATGTAATACCTACGTGAACCTCAGTTTTTCGAATAAAACACTACGATCTCACGTCTCGTAAGCAATCTGGTTGTGCAGACTCGCATGAATACCTTTTCCGATCGCAGTATGTTTAAACACATAAATTGTTATATCTCGTCAATGCCGCCAACTTGAAACGCCGAAATTACCTCGATAATAGATACCACCCGGAATGCATCTCATATCAGACAACGCAATTTTTAATACGTCCTCTTGAGTTTCTTTCATGCACATAAGGGAACTGCAGGCGTGTTCTTATGATTTGAGACCTATTTACGCATGAAGATATAGTGCCCAATTTGTTCAAAAATGACGTCGCAGCATACATTTAAGAGTTCGACAAGTGAGGGTAGTGCAGTAAATTCAGGTACGCACCAAAATTTTCCTGTTTGCATGAAAATTTAGCTTAATAAAATTTCCCTTAATAAAATGACTTAAAAGCAAATGTCGTCTTTTTATATTTTTATGGATTTTTTCCATAGTAAAAACCACTTTGCTTGTGGGTCTAGCCGTTTTATAGGAACATCATGCTCCTAAAACAACTAACTCTTCGCACTTCGAAGAATGTGAGGCGCTTATTATTTTTTAATAGTTCCGATTTTTGCAAACTGATTGAAAACTTTTTATTTTTTATAAATGTCTTTCCTTATGAAAATTTAAACACAGTCTGTGGACGTCCACACAATTATAATTATGAGAAACCTGTAAGTTTCTCATTACCAAATCTAACACAAGCAACACAATCCACTTTGTCGGAAATCGGCTTGGCTCGGTCTACCTCACTGCTCACAAAAGTGGCTTACGCATAATTATTGATTTACATATTTTGACGTTCCGAGTTTTCGATTATTTTGCTTGACAGTGGTTACTAGTGCCCTAGTGCTCTATAATGTTTCTCTTCGCAATGGTTGAAGACTGTTTGCGCACTGTTATATTGGCGTGCCTAGTAAACCTACGGTCTTACTTCTAATTGTTGTCCTTCTTTTGAGACTTGGTACTTTTATTTTTATTGTGGTCCGTGTTTTGCCTAAACCATTTTATCACGACTGCAATAGTCAACATGTCTAAAGTGAGAAAGATGAGACGACAATAGGTCCGATGTGTGAGACATAAAAATTATCTTTTGCTGGATACGTTTTAATTGATAGATGACAACTCTATATAACATTATGATCACAAATTTTTTAAAGTGTATTAAATGTTGCACGCGTTGTCGTGTAAATGTATTCAGCATGATGCAAAGCATGCTTCTAAACTTATTAGCCATTTAAAAGTAAAATAAACATTTTGATATACGATGAAGCGAGCTATTATATTTAAACATTGCTACTACTATGAACCGGCAATAAAGTATTTGCAAGAGCAATTGGTCATTCGCGGTAATAGACGCTTACAAAGACCTGCGTCTGAATTGTTCTGACAGTTTTGCGAAGCTTTTCGCAGGCCCGTTTCGTTTCATTTCGATGTACTTTTGGGCAAAATTTTGGGAGGTTTTCTTATTG